TTACATATTCATCATCGTGAAAGTATCGATTTCGATTTCATTATCTTCCGGCAAATGTCAAACTTTGCATCGAGAATGCGACCGTTTTTGAAACAGAATATGATGACGATATATCTTGAAAGTAACCTTTTTCGAGCGTGAATGCCGAAGGTGAAAGAATCCGATAGTTTACAGGTGTGTCGCGGTAGCATCGTCTATTCTTCACATGGAGCCCTTTCGAAGCGACGTAGGTCGATACCTATGCTTAAAATTTTAGTAGGGCTACCGTTTCAGGTCATGCATGGCGTATAAATATTGTGCATAAATAAGCACGGTTATTTATGGGAATTTTATGAAAATTCGTCCTACCTTCTGCATAGGGATAGGAACACCGCTTAAAGAACCGTTAACTATCTGACACGTGGGTTATATATTTCCCAGTTCAAATCACTGTTAGTTTTGGCATTACATGGTTAGATTTACGAATGTATAAATGTTAAAATTCATATGGCATTTTTTATATAGCAATTTTTACATCAATTTTTCCGTTCAATTCTCCGTTAGCTTTGTCATCAAAATTTAGGAATATACGTATATAGATAAAGTTCATATAATTTTCTACATACATACATATTTCATATTTAAATTTTCCAGTTCAGATTACTACTAATCTGTCATTAAAACGGCTCAATTCTACGAATGTATAGATATAAAAACTTTGTATTAAATTTTTCAAATTCAGAGTTCTCACGTATGGAAGTTCATATAGATAGAAATCCACGCGATAAACTTTTTTTTTTAATACGGACTCGATAAAAATTCAAGCTTTCTACTTTTGAAAACGGCTAAAATTAAATTTCCCCACGTATCATGTAAAACCTTGTACACGCCTCTTATACTCTTGCGCTCTGTAAATTGTCAAAAGAGATTCTGAAATAAAATAAATTGTGAAACAAAGAATATATTGGTTCAAGCTGATTGAATAGAAGGAAATATTGAGTTGAAGGTATCCAGAATTCATTAATCGAGACGATAAACGAGGCAGGGTTCGTGAGAAACGAAAGGATCATCGCCTTATGCTAATAGGTGAAAGAAAAACACCCTTGGGGAGTTTTCTCACGGGATGCTTGTCGTCTAAGGAATATTAATAGGTGCCCCTCCCCCCTCTCGACCCATCATTCTCCGACACAAGGAAATTTCCGCGTCGAAGGGTTAAGGGCGAAGCTGCTGGACCATCTGTGTACCTACTTGGAAACCTTCGTTTTCTGACAAACCTTCGCACGTTCTATTAGTATGCCCGCGTTATTATAATATAATACGAGGTGGATCCATCCTGACAATATTTATTCTAGGGGGAGCAGGTAAAGGGTTGACACGGCTGGAATTTAGAAAAACTGCCTTTCGATGTGGAACAAACAGTTGCATAACTTGAACCCTTTCGTGTAGCCATTATTTCATGTTTATTATTCAAAAACTGAAAGTAAACGTGCGTTTGTTCGTTTAAATGATTTTATGGAGTTGTTGGTGCTTTTGACTTTTAATGGAAATTTTAATGATTTTGAAGTATTTTGGTTGGTTGGATTTTTTATTAAAAATGTTTAGAAGAGTTTTGTAGCTAATCTTATAATATTCTCGAGTTGGTTGATTTAACGATTAGGATAGAAAATTTGTATTTTAGAAATTTCAATGAATGATATGTGAAAAGATATTCAGATAAATAAATAATGATGATAAATCCTTCGAATTCCTAAAAATTTGGTACGTACTGAAAATCTATAAATTTTCTAGGGAGATTATAAATTGGATATTTTAATTATTTTGATAATTCTACAAAAAGAAAAAATGTATAAATACAGATCATTGATATTTTAAGCAATAATTCGTATTTTTCTCTTTTTTTTTTGAAAATAGATAGCTACGAAATTACGATTTAACAACGTTAACGTTCAATAATTAGCAACGATAAAGAGAATTTAATAGCATTTTATAAATTTTCCACGATGTAAAGCGTTTAATGACAGCGGCGCTTTGCAACAGCAAAATAGCAGCGATGCCATTAAAGTGTTTAAAAATTAATTAATGTCACGAAGCATCGTAAAATTGAAAAGAGGAGAAAGCAATTTTAATTACCTGCAGTAAAAACATCAAAATAACGGAGAATCCATTAAATGTTTCAATTAATTTATTGAACATTTGTCGCCGAAAACTGCATTAATGATTAATTATCAGTAATACAAAAGAAACAATTTCACATAGCTTTTTTGAAATCTAAAAACACAAGGGAATCATTTACATCTCATTTTTCACAAAGATTACTGATTATTGCTGGATATTACCAAACGCACAAATTACAGAGCAATAAATAGATAGAACCAGTACTTTTTACCTTTTCATAGACTCAGCAGACTATAAATTTAAATCATGTATTAAACAACATGACAATACACTTTGCTGTATACTACATATATCGTATTTGTGTACGTAGATAGGATATTTTAACTGAGAAGGACAATATTCCGCAAATATTCAAAGATCAGACAGATCAACACCATAACAGTGGTTATCAGAAAGTGTGTAAAGAAAGATTTTGCAACACAGAAATAAAGTTCAAGAGCAAAATTCAAGTAGCTTAAATCAATTATCCACCTATTACAATGTATTCTATAATAATATTTTCAATATTTCAAAACCCAACTCGATCGATAATTTGATTGACCACGGCAACATCCGCGTAATTCACGCGCGATCGAAAGAGAACGGAGGCAGAAATCCGCGTGATTCTCGAGATCTGGAGGCAGCCCGATCGAAATTAGCCGGGTCGTTGCACGTCGTAGAACAAAATTACGTCGAAGAATCCGCTGGCCAGTGCCCTTTCCTGGGGCCTGTTGCCCTCCCCCGTCGACATCATCCTCGTCTTGATGCGATTATAATGAACGCTCGGTTTACCGTGGAGCCTGATAACCTAACCCCGAAGAAGAAGACGAAGAGAAAAAGAAAAAGGACCAGGCAGAAAAGAGAGAAGATGATGAAGAAAACGAGCACAAGGTAGAGGGTACAAGAAGGAGGAAGAAGAACAAGAAAAAGTTGGGAATGAAAAAAAAAAGAAGGAGGAAGAAAAAAACAGGAGAAGAAAAAGCAGAGAGAGTCGAGCAATAATATGAGAAGGCGGGGCAGGCCGGAATACGTAATGCGCTAAGAGCGAAGCCGAAGCGCGTCTTGAACGGAGCATGAAATTGGCTTTTCGGCTGGGATCGATTTGCGACAAAAAAGTTGTTGTTGCTGGTTGTTGCAGCCGCGATGCGAAAGATACAATCGTGCCTGCCGGACCCGACGCTGTTGCTAATTTGAATTCATTTCGTGCCTCTGTTATCCAACAGTTGCTCGCATCTTGCGCGCGAACAAGACGAACATACATTGTCTTGATCTTACGGACGGTGATGATGCGCGTGAAGACTGAATCGCGAGACGAATTTTGCTTCTGAAGTTCGAAATGATATTCAGATATCACTGATATTTTTGATCTGATATTTTTAATGGTAATTAGGGAATCTTTATGTATTTATGCGGAATTTAAGTGTTTGAAAGTGTACAGGATGTTCATAATATGCAAAAATATACAAAATATATGAGGCCCTCGTTATGATACATTGAGGGTATAACGAATCTCTATTCAGATTTTATTTCTTTAGCTTTGTTTGTAAAAATATAAATTTGGATAAAAATCTACAGTCTAATAAGTAGGTAATGATATAAATATCTCCATTTCAATCGGTTTGGGAAGAATCTTACTTTAAATATGATTGACTTGGTGCATTCGATGGCGCGAAGTCTCAGGTTGCTTTAATTCTAGATTCGTTAGGTTATAATAGTGTTAGATAATGAATATTCTATAGTCGAAGTCTTCGTAGATAGCTGAGAGAAATGATATTCTCTTTCGACGCTACAAAAGAAAATATAATAAGAACATGTCGATATTATTCATATTTTATGATTTGGGAAAACAGGAACATTACCAAATTAGTATGTTATTATTATTGAGCAGAAGATTCGATTTCAAATTAAAGTCCGAAATAACGTTCATAAACTACCATATTTTCAGTTATATCGTTAAAAATTATCAAACATAAATGCGACGCTCGAATACCCGCTTTCAAATATCGCATATGTACATTTTGCCAAAAACGTTAATTCCTTCGGAAATATCATACGTCCCGCTGGAAATGAAACGCAATCAGTACGACTGCCAATTTTTCTGGCTGTTCAATTTACATAATAACGATTTTTCCATAACAGGGCGAAAGAGACCTCGAGCATGTAATTTCTCCGCGACATTATCGTTTCTTCATATGCATTTACGTCAAGAGACGAAAGTGATATTCGGCGACGCTTGTTTTCTTTTCTCTTTTCAAATTCGCCGCGTTCTCACTGGACATGCCACCGTGTCTCCGTGATTTGCGATAGTGGGTCACGATATCCATATGATTGATACCCCGGCTCGTAATAATAATAATTATTATTAAGCGGCAGCGCATGGGTAAAATCATACATTCATTTCCTGTATCTCGAAACGAAGGTTCGAATTATCGCTTGTCCGACGTGGGCCAAACAGTCAGCAATGGTAAAAAAAAAAAAAAATAAAAAAAAGAAAGAGAAGGAATAAAAGAGGAGAAAAAGAGAAATAAATCATTCCGTCAAAAATACGGTCGAAAAATACCGAAAAATCGCGGCGATATCGTTGGACCGTCATTCGATTGACCAACTTTTTGCGCATTTACAGGCTGTTCTTTTTTTTCCTTCCATCCTTGCCATTTTTCGGTGAGCCAGTATCGAGTACACTTGTAATCCGAGAAACTCGTTACAGCTTGTTCGAACACCGTTTCACGCGAAAATAGGCGTTGTACAGTGAATTTCTTTTTTCTTTTTTTTTTTTTTTTTGATACCCCTACCTGTTATCCCTTCTCGACAGTAACGTATTCGTTTCGTGCAGTCATGTTGATCGACGACTTTTCTGTTTGTTTCAGGTGTGCTACGCTCGGTTGGAAGTGTGCTTGTTGCTTAGTGGCGGTATTTGGTAAGGATCCCCTTCCGTCAAATTGACGGGAAAATCGGAAGTGTCGATTTCGATCGCAGTGCACGAATTCACGGTGATGGTAATGAATTTTTTTTGACAATGTCTATGGTCACAGTGAAGTGGTCCGTGATTGATATTTTCGTTAAACGTTTCGTTCAATTTGAAATTTCAGTCGCACATGTTTAATATGATATATATATATAAATAATCGATATAATATTTCAAGTCCTAAGAGTAAAGTAAAAAAATCATACGTTTGATCGACGAATATTAAAGGAGTGCTTTCTAACGGCCGGATTGCGTAAAATTTGAAAAAATACCTGGTATCTACAAAACCGTGAGCGGTCTACGGTTAAAAAGTTTCCCCATAAATTCGTCACTGTCAGAGAAATGATATACGCGGACTGAAATCTCGTCGAATTATCTCGTTCCACTTATCAGGGAATACTTCCAAACAAACCACGGTCTGGCGGCCACGCCCCGCTCTAAAAATCTCCCCTTTGAACAAACTACCAAAAAACAGGACGCACAGACACCCGGCTATCTCGAAAAAAGTCCACTTATCTCCATTTACACTGCATCAACGGATTCTACAAAAATCATTGCTCCACCTCCCGCGGGCAATAAAAGTATCTACACTTCCGTTCCAACTACCCCCTAGACACCGTTCTCACCGTCATCACACGGGAGGTCCCTAATGACCAACCCATACTTCTCTCTCTAAACTCTTCCACCAAACGCCCAACGTGTAACAATAACAAGAAAGAACGAAAAGCAGACATACAAGAACTATAAATCTAATATCTTTTCATTTTCCAACATACATTGAAATATTTTCAGTTGTCTATGTTTTTTACCTTTCGAGTAATCTTCCATTATACAGGCTACTACGATTTAATGACTGCTGACTGCATAGTCTTAATTGAAGGGAGAAAAGGAAATGCAAGATATAAAAAGACCTCGACTCTGTATATACCAAGAACATGTATATTTTTGAAATTAAAAGTCAACAGCAACAAATCAATTTCAGAGATGTAAAACATCGTAGAATTTATTTTCAGCAAAAGTAAATGAATCGGTGCGTTAGAAATGATCCGAATAAAGAAATTACCATACCTAATTGTGAGAGAGTTAAGAACCAGATTAACTGTTCCCGGGTTAACAGGTTTATTATGTTTATGAAAATATGAATTTGCATAAACAACCGTTCCTTATCCTTCGAACGCACGAATTAATTATCGAAGCAGGTATTCTATATCTCGAATCCATTACCTCTTCTCGTGATCCCCAGAAATTCTCGTCCATTCAGCCCCCCGGCGGTACCACTGGTACCATTTAAAAAGAAGAATGTCCTATAAGAATACTCTAAAATGAACGAAAGACAGGCAACAGAGAGGATACTAAAAAATGAAACAAAAAAAAGGAAGTGTAAAGAAAAGGGAAGATGTTTTCGCGCTTCGAGGGGTGGTTGGGAAGGGTCTGTTACGTCACCGAGAGGAGCGAGGCGCCGAAGAATCCAGCAAGACGATACGGCCCTGCCCTTCGCCGGGCAGATAGGGTATAATCATGGCGAGTTTCGTATCTCGAAGGGGCACACGGGAAGATGGTCCAACATCTGCCGCTGCAGGGAATCTCTGCCCACATGCTGGCCGTCGTGCACGTACGTACGCACGCACACGCGCAAAAAGTGACATAGCTACACGCTGGGACGTCATGTAAATTCATTCGAAACACATGGCAGGGCCGAGGCGGCGTTTTTCTCGTGCGCGCAAAAGGGTTCTTCCACGGTGGAATCCGAGGAGCGCCGCACGGGGGGCTCCGGGTAAAAAAGGCAGACGATAACTTCGACTTTTAGACAAGGACCACTCTCACTCTCTCTCTCTCTTTCTCTGTTTCCTTACCTTCTCTTTCGCCTTCTCGACCTCTGTCTCTGTTACGAGGGACCACCGGCTCGAATGAGTCCACCGGTTAGCCGCTTCTTTTTTATTTAATCGCCTCGATCATCCAATGCTCGGGGTGTCCGATGCTTTGCAATTTCGGCTTAGCGAAAATTTAGAGGGTAAAGGCCTCTCTTGAGATATGATTCACCTTGGAGGGTGGTGGCTATTGGATTTTGTATTATTTATGAGAAACCTGGTATTGTTCTAAAAATATGGCGAGAAACTGTGGAAACTATTTTTACGAATTCTGTAGGCAAGTAATAAATCAAGGATATGTTGAATTAAATAGGTCAAAGTTCGAATCTGATTTATAGGATTGTTTATAGCGAGCATGAAAATACAGCATTTAATAGATGTAACTAAAATCAATCGCGCGAATGCTGTTGAAGGTGTATTTACGCGAGAGGTATTTTTGGAACGATTTCAAACAGAGTACAAATCATAAATAGATATGGGAGACGTATTAATCGGAATTAGCGACGAACGTTTTCCCTTTCTGATTAGATTTTTAATGAACATCGGACGATCTTCCCTAATTAACTTACCATTGAAACTAAGCACACGATACAATCATTAAACCGAACAGTATGCAATTACATGTACAAGTATTAAGACAATTAGCTTCAACGAATTATACATCTCGATATCAAACTCATCATGGAATAAAAAATTTCTTAAAAAATCCACTAGAAATAATAATAAAATCCAGCAGAAATCGTAACAGGATCTAACGAAAGATCTAATTGGTCTATCCAGTGATTTTCTTTTAACGAGTCTTCGATCTGATTGTTCCGCGACGTTAAAAGAAGAAATAAGAGAAACCTAATAAAAAAAGACCTAATAAAAAATAGAATCACCGATGTAAAACGCAGAGAAAGGAGCAAGTAAACCAACAAGGAATAAAAATACACTGGCTCGAAATAACAGGGCATTCGGGTAACGAGTGTTCCTTCGTCTAACGAGGGTTCCGTGGAAATCGTTAACGGGGTAATTCTCGCGTTCCGCGGCTAATTACACGCCGAAACCATGAAAATTCCACCGCTCTTGATTCATTATGCTGCCACGAAGACAATAATGGATCGCCTTTTGTTTTCGATTCGTCAAGTTCAAAACCGGGGGAATTTCGATGCGGCTACGAGATAGGCTGGCTCGTTGAAACGTTAACCGCCGCGCCGGAAAACCGCGGCAAGCGAAAAAAAAAAAAAAGAAGAGAACCAGAGGTTAGATAGACAGAACACAGGAGAACGATGGAAAAGAAGGAAAGGGATACACGAACAACGTGTACAGGGAGAGGGACTGTGTGATGAAGGGGGAGAGGAGAGGGAAAGAGAGAGAGAAAGAGAGAAAAAAGAAGAGAGACAGGGAAAATAGGAGTAAGCTCGCCGCGCGCGGAATTGCAGAACTGCCTTTAATTAAAGCCATCAAGCTAGTTGAACAATTATCATTAATTATGGACGTTGCTTGGCCGCTCACACGAGCCGTCCTCGTCGTCGTGGCTACCTAGAGAGAACGGTTTCACTTCGTTCGCGTGCACGGCGTCAATTTGAAAAGAGGTGGTTGTAAGAGGAAAGAGGGAACGAGAAAGGGAAAAAGAAGAAGAGAGATAAAAAATGAATACACGGGAGATGGGGAAGGAAAGGGAAAGAAGTACACACGGCCCTGCCCTCATGATGTATTTTCATCGACGCTCTACTTTGTAGCGTCTTCCTCTTCTTCTTTTTCTTCTTCCCCGCTCTCTCCCCGCTTTTTCCTTTACCTGTTAGTCTCAGTAACTGATTTAAGAGGCACAGTCCAATTTGAGATAGCTAGCAAGACGATTTTTACCGCTAATTAAAGGTGCGTTAATTAAAAAAGTACAGCCCCTGGTTTCATGCTCGAATCGGCCTTTGATCGCTTATAAATCGTTGGATCATTAGCCAGCTCGGTTGCTCGCGGACGAAGAAAACCCTTTTGCGGTTCGTGCGCGACGATCAAACGCGGGAAGAATAGACGATTCTTCTTTGATTCCCTCTTTAAGCGGTGTGAAACAATAGTACGTAGGGAGAATGGGGAAGAACGAGAAGAAGGGGAGAATAATATTCCGTCAGAATGCATGGTCTTGAGAAATACAACGATTGTTCAGAGGCGTTTAAAATTCTTTGAGATTAGGGTTGAGAAATCGTCGGCGGTAGATTCTTTCCTCGAGCAACGAGAAGCAAGCGTAAAAAAAAAAAAAAAATAGTGTCATAATAAAAATGACGATTTACGTTCTATGTCATTGTTATAAAATTGGGGTCAATGATTTCAATGATCTACGCACTTCGGACACGTTTTCTCGCATCTTAACGACGTGAAATATCACTGAGGAATGTTAATCTGATGTTTTCAAAGCTATACATATATTTCGAGTTTGTCTTGCCACAATCGAAATAAAGAATGGAGTGGATTCTATTCGATAGGAGTTATTATAGCATCTGGTTATTGTTATATTTTATAAGATTCTGACTGAGCGAAACTTCTCTATTATTTGAAAGCAATTTTATTCGTTGGACTAAAATGTGAAAAATCTTCTTGGATTTTCGAATCTTTATGTGTTAAGTTGGTTACTTTGGTTAGTTCGACATCATTCTAAAGTTAATATACAATATTAGTTTTCATGGTATCATATTTATCTTCATAGTTAGTCGTGTTATTTTTATAGCTAAATAAAAACAGAAATAGAATATAGATATCCTATTTTGTAACAGCATAGCGCAATTTTTCTTCTATTTCTAGCTCTAAACCGTAAAGATAAACTTGTCCTAATCCATTAAGCGATAATCACAGTCATAAGAAAGCTGGAACAACACGCTAGACAAAGTTTTCTCCTTCGATAGTATCTCACTGTTTATCATCGTTCTCTGTGTCTGCAATAAATAGATTTAGACATACACCATTATGTTCATGTATAGTCTTTAACCTTTACTCGATGCTAGAGTAAAGTATCAATTTACTTTTCCTTCAAACGTCACCCACGGAATATAAAATGAAGTATCTACATTTACCCATTATGCCAACTAGTCTTCAACGATCGTTAACTTGGCTTAAGAACACCTTACTCTTGAAAATAAATCTTCCCTCGTCCGACTATGGCTATTTTACTTCTCTTTTTTATATTTGAATGCGTTAATTGAGAGATTTAAAAAAGAAATGGTATAAGCAAACAATTTTTTTGACAGTTAACTTAATTCCAAGTAAACTACGAGCAAAGATAAACTTTAATGGAAAGATTTGTATACTTCTCATTACTTCATTCACGAAATTGCGATTAACAATATAAATTATGCTGCTACAGGAGAAAAATTGAGAAAATAAATTGCCAATGAAAACATTAAAAGAAAGCGAAGATACTTGAATTGAATCTAACTTCGAATTTAATTCGGTTTCTTTAGAATTCAGAAATCCAAGGGAAAGACGCATAGGCGATAAAATTTGTAATTTAAGATAAACTCTCTAGATACCTAAACAACGATATTAGAATAATCTAAAAATAAAAAATCTACATGTTTCGAACACTACCGTACGCACTTCTAAATCTTTAAAAACTCAGAACAAAATCCTCTAAATAAGCATAGATACGAAAAGATATAGGTGTACCATTTTTTCTTGGTAGAATTTTTTATTAATAGTATATTTCTCCAATAACCAGAGATTAAAACTACAGATACTTTCGTTTCCTAAACACACCCAGAGAGTAGCCACGATTTCTAAAAAGAAAGATAAGAGACGAAACGGGACGAAAAACAAGCTTCCCTAACAGAGAGAAGTCTCTAAAAAACAGGCTCGGTGGCTGACCACGGCTAATCTTCTCGCGCCCCATAATTAATTACGCGTTATCTGGAACAGGTCCCGATTACGGCGTGTGTCTTAACGGGACAATGGTGAACGGGGTCCCCGATAATGGGCCAGATAGCGTGTCCTTATTAGGAAAAATTTAAGGTTCGAGCAGCGTGTTTACGAGCTGGCCCGGCGTTCGGCCCGCGCCAACGACAGAAACCGAGCCATATTTCTCCATGAAATTTAACGAACCTCTGGCGCAATGGGACACCATTAAAAAATTCCTCAGCGTCATATGCCATCGTGCACGCAACGCCGATAAACGCCGCTGGGCGAACGCAGGCCGACTACAGAGTAAACGAACAGGAATGATAATATTACCAGACGTTTCACGCAAACGCCTTTGCAAAAGTGCCATCGGTGAAAAAAACTAATTTATTGGACTCGTAGCATAATTGTAAGCAGGATCGATTTATGAGGCCGTGTACGCGTGTCTCGTTCGATACCTTGCACATTGGACACGCTACGTGAAAGAGCTCCCGCTACGAAGTTTCGCGGTAATTTTCTGCTTTGATATCCATGTTTTGATTCGTTTCTTTTGTTACTAGTGAAGGGAAGTGGAAATTGTTTATGGGTAATAATGGGAACTTCCATAGGATAGTAGGAACGGCACGTTTGGAGTTATAGTCAGGAATGTGGAGAATTTTAGCTTTGACAAATTTTGATTCAATGACGTGGTTACTATTTGTTACGAAAGATGTCTATTATTTGTTGATCGGTAATTTTTCTTAGAATTCTAGGTGTTATTGATATTGTACTTAGATTTTTAAGAAAACTATTTGCTCGTGATTTATCCTATATCTAAAGATTTAAAATATGTCGACCAATATCAGAAAAAGGCAAGAACACTGTTTCTTGTATAAAATAGCTTATTCTCTATAGATCCACCATTTCGATAATGAAGAGATAAAGATACACCTGTATTATGACAGGATATAATATTTCCTAAAATATTCATGAAAATTATTATTTTAGATCTCCCTCGATATAAACGAAGAACGTAAATTTTCGTAACGTAGTCGGACGGACGTTTCAATTATTTAAGCTGACAACGAGCGCACTCGGCCGAAAGAGTTGGGAAACTCGAAAGTGCATTTCGTGCACGTAACGAACTTAAATAGACGGATCGTGTGCACCGGTTGGCCCGCGAGTATTATCAGATCAATAATTGCCAAGGAGGGCCGAACTTGCCGAACTTCGGGCCGCGTTTCAAGCTAATTCCTGCCTATCAGACCCGTGTCTGTCACCCGTAGCCTTCTTGGAAGGAAAAAACGAGAAGTTGGTTTCGCGTCACGGGGGAAAATACGGTTGCCATGTACCTAGCGAGACGAACCTTGGGAATTAAAATCATGAAAAATAAAGATTCCAGATGGATTGAAAAGAAGCTATTTAAATAGCGAAGCTATATAAAATATTTAAAGTTCGAGCGAAAAAGTCGAGAAATTTGAGGAGTATAAAAGAATCATCAAAGCTGCGAAACCAGTGCAGCTTGCATGTAACCAAAATTCATGTCAAAAATTTTCTACAAACATATTTCGACATATATATTTCTATAAATTTTATGTCAATTAAAAAACGATGATATCAAACAATTCTTTTTAAGAAGAAAAACACGGAATATTTTAAATTTATGAAACACTAATTCCCTATCTTACGATGAGCTTCAGATAACGTACATTCACTATAGCTCCATTACCACGTAAATTATTTCATCCTTTGTGCATCGTACCGAGTACATTACAAATATTAAATGAATATTTTGTACATTCTTGTATACTATATACATTCTATATAATTTTACACGTTTCAATATTCCACGTTCGCATAAACATCAGCAGTCTATTCATTATACTTAAGCGTAAATAAGAAGCGAAGAAAAAAACGAGTATTTCGTAAATGAAATAACTACTACAAGTCGACGACCTATTATCCAGAAGGAAATTCTTCGCGAAGTTAAATTATAATCTCCATTCGAACCACCGAAGCTTATTGACTATACATTGAACAAAAACTCGAAGTACCTACGTCGATGAATATGAAGTATAATCTCTCAGCGAAAAAATACTGGCAAGGCGCAACAAAAAGATACAAAAAAACGACCTCCCGCGTTAAAGGGGTTAAAAGGGACGGGCAGCACGTATTTCTACGATCGTGCCGGGCAACAGGAGGAGCAAAATCGACGACGTTTCGCGCATAATTAAGCAGTTCTTGCGGGCGTATTTCAGGGCCGCGGTGACGTCTCTATCCCATGCGGCTCGCTCATATCGCGGCGTTTACTCGGATTTACATCGCGCATACATATGTATGGAAGAAACTACGATTTGTATCGTCACGTTGGCCAATTAAGGGGCCGGGGTCGTTAACGAAGAGAATAATTAGAAAGCGTTGGCAAGCCGACCGGTGCGGTGGACGACGTGGTGCACGTCCACCTCGCTTTTCAGCTTCTTTTTACTTTCTCAGCTTGGCTTGGCATCGCCGCGAGCCACGTTGGTACATGAAAGAAAGAAAGGAAGAAAAAATCGTAGAGAAAACGAGCGAGAAATGTAAGGGGGAGGGGAAATAAGAACGAAACGAAAAATTCGCGCTCAGGTTCTATAGATGGTGTAAAGACACGGGGAATTAATATGTCTGCTACGTGTATTTGCATTCGAAATGCCTGAATATGAAATGGACGCGCCCC